TTGATCTCATGTGCGTATTTGTTTGATTTACCTGATCAGCGTAACTCACTATTGAAGTAAGCACCTGATGAAGAAAAGGCTGCCAAAAACGGTTTTATCGATGAATATCCAAGTAAAAACAGTGATACTTCTGTGTGAAAACGACTTTCCCAGACTGGCCCGAGCGATTGCTCATTAGTTTTCTCATCAATGTTCATTTCTCCAACATTTCATGCGTAATGAAGGGACCCAAGTGTCGTCAGAAGGCGGATGTTGTTGGCAACAACATCCGCCTTCGAAGGTACGGTAGCGCGGCGGTTCGATGGCAACGCTAGCGCGGCCCGTTCGGTTGCCTCAGTGAGGGGCACGTAGCCAGACTACCAATCTGCCTCTCCCTCTGACGCCCAATTCACTTCCAGGTGTTATATAAGGCAGTAGTCTGCTGTAAAATGGCGTTCAGGCGGGCCACACAGTTCATCCCTTTTTGCGAACACATGACAGATGATAAATTCGGGAAGCGGATCCTGCTGTTCGCTCGCAAGGCTAGTAAGCTTTCGCCAGTCGCATGCGAGGCGTTTGCATGTGCCATCCTTCCAGGTCACCGAAGCGGTGCACGCTTCGCACCGGCATCCACACACCGCATTCAGGTTTCTTCACAGGAAAATGTGATCTTCGATTTTCTGTATGAATGGAACACCTAATGGCTTGCACCTTTAACGTTGGGCCAAACGCGTGAAATCTGTATCACGGCATCGCGATGTACGGCTTGGGACCAGAGTTTGTGGCCGCGTGTTGTGAGCTGGTGAAGTTGCAGTCGCGCGGAGCCCGTGCCGTCGTGCCGGCGAGCTCGGGGGATGGCCGTGACGTCAAAGCACCTGCCCGGCAGGGCGGCGCCCGAGATGATCTCGCTGGTAAAGCGAAACTCGTGCGGCAAGGCGCTGGAGATCGCGCGCCACTGCCGCGACATGCTCGGCGGCAACGGCATCAGCGACGAGTACCACATAATCAGGCACTGCATGAACCTCGAGGCCGTCAACACTTACGAAGGTGAGAACGCGGCTCTGGCGTTGGGTGCTCATGAATCGGTGTTCTGCTTGATGCTAGTATTGCTACCACCTGCTTGGAGGAACTGTTGGCGTGATGTGGATGACTTACTTTTTCTGATGTGTCTCTGAAAGATTGATATAACTGTGTCGAATGCGATAATTTTTCGATTGATTATTGATCCACGCACGGGATACGGACAACTTAATAATGACGGCAGATTCCCCGACATTACCAGCCTGTATTGCTTCCAACCGGGGCTTCGTCATGGGACTTCGGTACAGTCCTCCTGCGATCACTGCTGTGTGTATTTTCTGTTGTCACGAAACATCATAACGTCGCTTGCAATAGCAAAACGGCACAGGCGCCATCGCTGGCCGGGCGTCCGCGCCGTCGCCCGCCGGCCGTGCGTGCGGTGTCGCCGCCTGGCCGCTGACGCTGGCTCCACCTGGGCAGGCACGCACGACATCCACGCGCTGATCCTGGGCCGGGCCATCACCGGCCTGCAGGCGTTCACCGGGCTGAGGCGCCGGCGCCTTCCCCGCCTTCAGTCCTGCACAGATCTGACGGCTGCTCTCTCCTCCAGCTGCGGCGGGGCGCGGAGCCGCCACACCGCGCCACCTGCCTGTACTGCACTGTAGCGGGCTGTCTATGCTGTAGCTGGGCGCTGGGCGAACCGCGCCAGCTGCCTGTACTGTAACGGGCCGCGCAGGGCCGCTGCCCGGCCGCTCCACCCGTGCTGTAAGCAGGGACGCAGTTAGCGGCGTTCGTCCGCCGGGCCAACAGGAATGTGATATCGAATACGCATGGTGCTTTATTGAACGCGACCTGTAGACGGAACACGGGGGATTTGACAGAGACCGGTGTTTGGTGGGATGGGGTTGATCACAGCGCGCGCTGCAGGATGGCGGCGTTCTGCAGCTGGCCGTCCTGGACGCTGAGGCTGTCGTCGGTCAGCTCCTTGCTCGGGAAGGTGGTCAGCAGGCTGAAGGGCGTGCCTTCCGTACTGCGGCCGGGCTTCTGTGCGTCGCGTCGTCAGGAAACCGTCGGCAGATGGGCGGGATCGAAATACTGGCATGCTGCACCCACCATACGCCAGTCACAACACGTGGGCGAGGGTATGCGATATGAAGGACACTTCAAAGCTCGGAATACTACTTACGCAAAACTCAGAATATTGAGACCCACTGCCAGCGTATGGTACACTACGGCTGTTTGTGAAGGGGAACTTGAGTTGAAAAAAACGCGGGGACAGAAGAACAGCATAACTGGTAAACAGTGCATCACGCAACGAAAAGCGTAGGCGAAAAACGAAAAACTGCGTAGCGTGCCCCACGCCCGCCTCCTCAAAGGATACGTGACGATGTAGCGCCGCAGGTCGCCGATGGTGTGCGACAGGTTGAGCTTGATGATGAGCCGGGAGCCGTCGGCCAGTCGCACCTGCACGCTGGTGGTCGGCTGGGCCTCGTCCAGGCCGAGCGCGGCGCGCGCCGCCGCCTCGCTGGCGGCCGGTCGCCGGCCGAGGCGGCGGCGGCGGCGGCGCTGGCGGCCGGCGCCGGCGCGCCACCACCGCCGGCGCCGGGCTGAAGAAGCGCCACAGGAAACCCATCAGGCCGAGCAGGCGCCACAGTATGGCGGAGAGTGACCAGCCTTCGGCGGCGGCGGCCGCGGCCGCGGGCTCTCCCGGGCTGAAACACAGCCACCGTGGCAACCAGAGCGCGGCGGCGGCGGAGCCAGAGCGCACCGTTGGCCTGACCTCACCGCATAACCCACGGGCTTCACACAGGCCGACCAGGCGGCCGACACACTGATTGAGAACGACCATCCCCGCTGACTGACTGGCTACCTGGCTAACAGACTGGCCTGACATGATCTGATATGACCAGATCACTGACCTGCCCAGGGACGTGACCGCGGCCGGAGAACGGCTTAGGCTTGGCCTTGGGCTTCTCGTAGTCCTCGTGCCGGTGTGGTCCTCCATGTCCAGGTGCACCTCGCCACCCTGCGCCTCCCGGATCAGTTCCAGCGGCACCTGACTGCGCATGCGCGGACCACGAGTAGAGCGTCAGCAGCGGGCACGGACCGCCACGGGCGCCTGAAAACACTCGGCCGCACGCGGGACAAGAATGTTCGGCAGGTCCGAAGACACCGACCGCGGACGTGGTACCGGGTGTCGGGTATGTCAGATGACATTCAGGGCCTGAGGGCGTGTTCTCGGTCGCCTGGTGACGGGATTAGCCCGGTGTGTACGGAACTGATAAGCTCGTAAACGTGAGCAGCTCATAAACGGCATTCCTCCTAGAATCTCAGTGCATTTCAGCGATTCGCCGACCTCGGGACATTCACGGGCGGCGCTCCTGGATGGCACTCACCCGCCGCGGACAGAGTTCAGGAACTCCTGGTTATCCGGATCCGAGTACTCGCGCAGCTCTCCGTCGTCGACGCTGAAGCCGGCCTTCCAGAGCCGCAGTTTGACGGTGCGCGGCTGCGGCGGCCGCCGATCGGGCGCCGCCGGCACCTTCTCCGAGTCGCTGCCGGTCTGGCCCAGCCGGTACCCGGAGCCGCCGAACGTGGACGGCTGCGGCCGGCCCGGCTCGCTGGTCGGCTCCACCTCCTCGGCGCCCTGGCTGCGGGGCGGGGCGGGGCGGGGGAGGTACAGCATGCGGACGCGGAGGACGCGACGGCACCGGGGGCCGCGCTTCATCACATGAACTGATGGGGCGAGGGCGAACTACAAACATGTCAAGGAAAACGAACGCTTTAATGTTTGTTTTAATGACTTGTAGTTCCGCATGATGCTAAGGATTGGGGTGTGTGTGGCTCTCCCCCACTCCAATCCTAAGGATTGGGGGGGGGGGGGAGAGCCACACCGAAGAGACAAAGTCCAAGCCGCGGCACGCCCAGCACAACACGACACCACGGAGACCGATGGACGACGAACCTGTCCAGTGCAAATGATACCGTGGGCGTGACCCCGTAACGTGACCATCACCACGTACGCGTAAACAGGCCGAAATGGAGCAGCATGGGCGCACGGAGATTCATGTCAGTGCAATCGCGCTGTCGGCATCCCTGGCCATCCCGGGACCCTGGCTGATTCAGCGGGCTTTTGACATTCTGGGGGATTTCTGCCCTTCCGTGTTCACAGACTGACTTCAGACGTCGTCACCGCCTCGGGGTCGGCCCGCTGGACTATATGGCGGTTTGCGGGGTTCCTGGCGTACCGGTAACATTTTGCATTCACCATTTCCTCTTAGACCGTGTCCGTTTGTCCCCAATCATCCCACACAAGAAAACGGCGCCATGCGGAGGTTGTTAGCTTGTAGTATCCCATCAGGTTTCTTTCGCGTGAAACGTCACGTCAAACGTGATGGTTACCCTTTGGCGGCCCTGAACATTTCCTTGACGATGTCCTCGCCCCTCTTGCCTCTGCGCGGCCCGAGGATCTGCTGGCCGCTCGTCTCCGAGCCGCCTGCGAAGAACGCCTGGCCGTCCTCGTCCGACTCGTCCGAGTGCGCGTCCATCAGACCCTGGATCGTCCGAATCCTGCCAGCACAAACGCAGTGTATGGACGGCATTGCGCGGCGAGAACTGCATGGAGACTTCTTTTTTGGGGGGTTCTGAACCGAGATGGCTGGCCTTATGACCACCGGTCAGCCCTGCAGCTCGCACCGGGCCCAAAATCAGCAGCACCACTTACATTTCGTTTGGGTCATCATGCCTCAATTTGCATGAACATCTTGTAACCAACAATAACGGACATAGCCGCCATCATACGGTATCCAAATCAACACAATGCCTGCAATCCTGAAATCACATGGTTGCCTCAAGTATGGGGGCGACAGTACCGGGCATTGGAGGCGCGTGAGCGCAACAAATCGATGACATGAATCGGTGATAAACCATTCCTTTATTATTCTTTTATGATTATGCGTCCTTCATTGTGGCCTGCATCAGAAACAAAAAAAATGATTTCCCCAATTAATTTTAGCCCATTCTAGCAACGTCATATATCACAGCCAGTTGGCACATTTTGGTCACTTTCATCCAAACACAGGAACGAGCTGTCCTAAACCCAGGAAGAAATTGGATTTGGGGAGGGGTAGGCTAGGTGTCCATAGATTGTTGCAGGAGCCCAATATGTTCAACATTCAACAAAAGCAGCAAAGCTGATAACTAAAGACCTAGTATCCACTTGAGTAACCAATGCCATCCTGAAGAATGTAGCTCTGAAAACAAAACTGCACCAACTGACTAAATGATGTTGCAAATGACCCAACAAAAAATATTGCTGCAATGGCAGCAAAAGACTTGGGCCCAAATTCTATATTTTGCATACAATTGCCACCAAAAAATATTTGCATCATCTAGAACCACAAAAATATTCACGGGAAAATCAGCTTCAAGACATGCAGTTCACAGCAAAACCAACATGTAGTAAAAGTGAACTTGGAACAGGGTGATGCATCTTATTACAGGTTCAAACAAATTTACCAACCTATAGAACAAATACAAGATGTACATCATCCTATTTTATTACCATCTTTACCAAAATTAGGTTTAATTCCTGTTATGTATTAATCTCATGAACTGCCAAATAAGAACCTTCACGGAATCTGTGATGAACATGCCTCAACCAGGTTAACAGACAAAAGGAGCAGACTAGTACCCTTTGGAAGATCAAGATCAGTGTGCATAACATCACTGTGTAAAAGGTAGGGAAACCAGTGTGTAAAAAATCAGCAGTAAAGGCCTAAAAAGCTTCTGACTTTGCCAGTTGTTCCTATCTCTTGTGGACTGATGTTGAACTTCTACAAAATTAGGAGGTACACAGCACAAAATGTGGACAACCTCCCCTTATGACCAAAACTCATTGTTGAGGACAAAACATCATCAAAACAAACATCAAACAAAACAAAACAACCTCCCCATTGACCAAACCCAAAAAATCATTTGTGGCCTGGTCTTATGAGATTAGTTGATAATTTATCATTCCTTTTACTATAACATATCCTTTATTATGACATGGATTTATACCAAATCCCCTGGTTATCTTTTTCACAGATCATTTAGCTTTGCACTCTACACTTTTACTTTGGATGTTCAAAAAACAATATTGTCTCCAATGCAGGTGAACAAATATGCAACTAACTCACCCAGGCTGTCTCTGAGCTCTGTTCTGAGCTGGGCCAGACTGAACCTCTTCAACTGCTGGTTCTGCTCCTGCTGCAGCTCCAACCACCTCACCTGCTTCCTGGTCTTGTGCTTCATCTCCATCATTGTCATAGAAGTTGCCCATGGCCACCTTAAACAGCAAAAATACTGGGTAAGCACAATGGTAGAGAAACTATAAAATTACAACACAAAAATGCCTAAGCTATTTCATAGGATCTCTCAAGATCCATAGTTTGAATCTCACTCACCTGGTAAAACATCACATCAAACAATAAGTGAGCAAACTATTTGAGATCAAATGTGCCACAACCTGCACTGCACACAGTATGACCACAACTGTAGGTTTGCAGAAGCATTTTATTTCCTGTACCATCATTTCATGCAATATTCAGCTAAGCTAGAAAAATCCCATCATTCTAGATAGCTGGGTGATTTGGAAGCAAGGACATGCATTTTGAAATGTTTTGTGTAGTGTTACTCCCATGTTTTGACCATTTACATGTGCACACTACACTTTACTAATATGATGCAAGCAACTGAGCAAGACGAGAAGACTGATCGACCAATCAATATCAACACCAATCGCTACCCACGTCGAGGTTCCAGCCAGCCGCTTCCAAAAAGAAAGTTGCTCGCTCCGTATCAACACCAGTTATGGCCATAAATTGTGCCAACAATGCTTCATTATCCGCCATGGTGCTAATCGTCTGTGATTGACCACTTGTGTCAACTCCACCGCTGACGTCTGACCACCTATCGACACAGTGCAGCCAAAATTCGCAGCTGGAGTAGTGATAGAACTGAGGGTTTGCACGGCACGTCCCCTTCCGCCTCCGCTAATTCTCGTGTGTTCCCGAGTTGCTTGTCTTCGTCCTTGTGCACTTGCGACCGCGCTACTCCTCGAATCAAATGCGCTACGGTGACTAAGCTACACAGATGATATAGGCTACGAAATGTAATTCTCCCAAATGATATTGGACATCTCGCGCCGTCCACTGTTTCAAAATAGAATAAGTCCTCCCAAGCCTGCAGGTCCAAGTTCATCACACATTTCATCAGACCATTCATATCACTCTTATTTTAATGTTCATGCATGACACATGCAATCATATGTAAACAAGGGCATATCTAGGTTGGCCAACAGGACTGCCTCACAGACAACCACATGGCAAAAAACCCAAATGACACAATTCTGGAATTTTAGGAAGATTTGAGGACATTTGTTCCGCATAAATGTTTTTAAAGGCGCTCTTTTGGGTGAAATCGATCAAATAAGCTAAACAGTTTGATTGAAAATGATAGCAAACTTAAATAATAACCTGCGCGCTGCTAGAGCACGGCGGAACTTTTTGGGCAGAATTGACTGATACAATTTTTGGCATAGATATACAACGTGCTGCTCCAATAGTTAAATGACATCAGACGTGATAAGCATGCAAACTGACATCTATGTCGCAAATTGGGTGCAAAACTGATCCTCGCAAGATTTTTGTGATTGAACCACTAAAACATGCTAAAAAAACAAATTCACTGCGTGCGTCTTTTGAGATCAACCAATGCGGTCTTGAAGAGACATACTTTTGATGTTTATGTTTTGACCAGGCAGTGGTTTTAATTGCGTAGACTGTGAATAAGCCCTGCAGCAGGTTTATGAAAATATATTGCAGCACTTTAGCTCGATGCAACACAACATCGAGACTTACCAAAAGGCGCGAAAACAAAGAATTGCTGCGATTTCTGGCGCTCAGCAAATAAGGTGGGGGGAATGGGGGTGTGTGTTTGCTGAAGTGTGGAGTTTTGTTACATTACCCGTAATCCGTTTCTGACCTAAATCGCTGTGTGTTAGCCATATGTAGAAGGATTCAGTTTTTGTGGGCACCCTGCCCATGTTCTGGCGCACGTTGCAGTACGCTACCAGGTACGACATAGAAGACCATTTACCCTTTAGGACCGCCTCCTACAAGTTCCTGACCGGTTGAACTACATTGAATCCGGTTTGGGACGTGGTAGATAAGTTACATTAGGTGCGTCCTGTGTGAGTCTCATCTGGATTTGAACTTGTTTAGTGTATGATGGGCAACAACACTGGGGAAGAGTTTCCAGCCATTGACAACTCACGCTGCAGGCATTAGCTCTAATCATTGGTTCACTCATTCCCTTCCATTCCCTTTTTTATCTTGCATGACTTACATAAGCTGTTTTTTGCGCATTGGTCAAACAAAACCAAAAGTTAAAGTTTGGGTGCATTGAGAAGAAAGCTTTTCAAAATTTACATGAATGTAAATGCATCAGTGAATGCCATCAAGTCTTCTCTTTACACCTTTGTCATGTATGTGTACAAGAAAATGGTCATCCACCACAAGCACAGACCAGGTGCTATCCCATGATGCGGAAAGTGAGGGATCTCGGGACACGTTTTTCATATCATGTCCCTGCCTGTGTTTTTTATGTTGTTTTTTGGCACATAAAGGCCCTGGCAGTTGACATGCCCTCAAACCAGAATCATTAGCTTGTTCAAAATAAGGGTGATGCAGGAGGGAGTGCATGAATAGTGGCATGGGAAATCCGGTAGCAATTAATACACTCGTGTGTCATCCTTTTCACATGAAGCACCATATGTACAAAAGTTCCATTTAGTTTAGACTCATGGATCATTGAGACTCATTACCCATGCAGCACTGTTCCATGCACTGATGGCATCTTGAAGATATTTAGATGCGGTTTCCTTCTTTGCTGCATGAAGAGCAGTCCTACTAGGGTTGGTACAGCACTGCCTCCAGCCATGCAATATAGATTTGCTGGATGTTGCACAGCATGTCTTAATGTTTTTTTTTAAAGAAACATGGATGCCTTTAGTTTGCAGTCCTCTGCATGCCAGGTAAACTCGTTCTCTAGGCTGGTGAGATGTTTTCAAAGGTTTGATGTTTTCACAACTTATCTCTTGTACATCTAACATGTGCAAAAATGTCCCTGTTTGTGTCCAAAGCATGCCCCTTCTCTCACACATTATGATAGATACCAGCATCAAAAGGTGAATTTAGGTCTGGCTCTCCATGAAGGTTAAACAAATCTGCACACAGGTTGTGTGTGCTCATTCACGGCAATCGGTGCTGCAATGATTACTTGTTTGCCCCGTTACCCTGCAGCCATCTGCACTCTGCATTTGCCGGTAGAAACGTGAAGAGGCCATCGGACAAGTGCTCGGGAATTAGGGAATTAGACGTATATCTCACACCTTTTCTGCATGAATAGCAGGAATCGCCCTGACGTTTGTGTTACTTTAGCTCACCTTGCAGCCTGGCTGATCTTCACGCCTGTGTTGATCGTCTGTAGCGGCCGGCGGGGCGAGCTCACGCGGGTGGCGCGGTGATGGCCTGCAATCTCTGCGGGTCGTCTTGCGACGCGCCTCTGCTGTACGGCGAGCTTCTGCGCAAGCGAGAGATTGTCTGCCACCACTTCTGCTTGGTGAGCGAACGCCTGTATCGAACTGCCGTTCCGGTCGCTTGCTTGCTGCTGTTTTTACGTGATTAGTGGTGAGATGGCGAGTGGGTAGAAAACAATATTCAAACGAGCTTTCCGGGCGCGTCTCTTTCCTTTGATGCTGTTCTGGATGCGGACTTCCCTTCCGGGAGCTTTCTTCCTGATTATACCGTGGTAAACCTGTCCTGTCCTTTCCTGTCCCATCCGAGTAAAGCTAGCTGAGTATTGCTATCACGTACCCTGTTCCCACGTGGAAAGCATTCAGTTGTGCTGTAGAAATGTAAGAGAAACGGCCGCCTGATTTCACGTCCTCAAACCTTCATTTCGTCTGCTTTTGCAGCTATTTTCTCAGGGTCTGCCGCAAAATGGTAGCGATCATGAGGGACTCCAGGGTTTCAAGCTTCCAGATATACGCAAGGAAATCAAGAAATCTGCGCGTAAGGTAGGTCACGAACCGTGGTCTCGTGAAAATCCGAGCCCAGGTAGACTCCCTGTGCATTGGACTCTTTTCCTCCAGCTATGATGGCTTTGTTCCGTTCTCTGAACTTCAGAGATCAAGAAATGCCCTCTTTTCATGTTGACATGCATCTCAGTTGTGCCCATCCTGGCGGAGAGCGTGACACTGGATACTGCCTGACACGCCCAAGGTAACCTTTGCTATGGCCACCACCATCACCATCTGTGACTCTGGCCCGGTATGTCAGGTGCCATCTTGTCTGGGGACGTCCTGGTCAGGTGGATGGCGCCTTCGGCTCCCTCGTAAGCGGTCCAGGTTCGAATATTGGTTGCGCCAGGGCTCCTGAGCTGTTATAAGACCATTGCAGTGGCTGACGCTCTACAATACGATGCGCGACGGCTTGCGTCGCGTTCCCCTCAACAGTGTAATCTCGTTTGCCGCACTTGACCTGTAAATGTGCTCCCACTTCCGCTGCCAGTCATCTCGCGGAGGCCACCACCACATCCCTCTGACCCGTGACGTCAGACGGGGGGGGGGGGGTGACGTCACCAGCGTGACCCGGGCCGGGTCGGTCCCCAGGTGTGTCACTTCTGCCAGCGGCGCGGCGCCCACTCCCGCTGCCACGCGCCGGAGTGCAGCAAGAAGTTCCACGTCAGCTGCGCCGTCCACGCCGGCGCACTGCTCAGCTTCTTCGGCCGGTTTGAGTGAGTCGCCGGCACCATCTCTCGGGAGCAACGGACGAGTCCACGCGCGTTTAAATCGCGGCGTATGAGCGTGGACGCCATCAACTCTTCCGCGACCTCATTCCATTTTCATGTTGTGATAAGTGGCTGCCGAACGAATCAAAAGCTGAAGCGAAACGAACGTGTTTCCATCTCCGTAAGCCGACACACCGCCCACGCGTTCAAAGCTATTGCTGGACACCACGGTCTAAAACCATGATGTGCGGTAGCCCCCGCACGAGGCCTGCCGCCAGCACGAGCGCACGTCCGTCCGAGAGGGCGGCGCCGCCGCTGCTGCCGTCGACTGACACGGGGGCGCGGCGGCTGCTGTTGCAGGGTGCGCTGCGCCCAGCACCGGCCGAAGGAGCGCGAGCCGGCGCGGCGCCGGCCGGGACCCTGCGGCATCTGCCTGGGCTCGGCCGGCCACGGCGGCGGGCCCGGCGTGCTCTGCACCCCGTGCTGTGGCCACACCTTCCACCGGCTCTGTCTGCAGGTGGGCGGCGCTGCCGGCGGACCGACTGGCTGCGCTCACATTCGGAGGACGTGCTCCGAATTAGGAGTGGAGGTTTTGTGGTCTTGTATGTTTCTGTGTGCGCCGAAACCGCGTGATTGGCACCTTAATGACGTCGGGGATCGGTATATAGACAGCCGATGATAACATGCAGTGAAATCAGAAAAATAAACACCTTGAAACACTAACATATGGCAAACCCTGCGTTTTAAGCGTGGTGATAATGAGATATATATCGTCCCCAAACATTGCATTTGGAACACGGCGTACCGGGTGAGCACCGACTGCCACATTCTTTGTCGCAGAAAATGGCTCTGAGTTCGGGCTACTTCTTCACCTGCCCAATATGTCGCAACAAGAACAACCGGACCGGCTTCCTGCGACACATGAAACAGTTCGGCGTCTACGTGCCGCAGAGGTGAGACTGCTCTCTGATCATTGAGGCTGATCTCTGATCAGTGACAGCTGCTCTCTGATCAGTGAGGCTCCTCTCTGATCAGTGAAGCAGCATGTGTCGCTGATGTGACACGCGGTGTGTCAGCAGCGGACCTGTGGCACTTGGCCAGCGGGTGCAGAAGTTGTGGCATGCGGGCTCCCTTAGGGGACCGTGGCACACGATCAACACGTGGCAGGGCTGTGATACGCGGCCTCCGGGTCGCAGTTATGACGTACAGCCAGTATTCGCCAGAGCTGCGGTCCAGCCCTGTTGGTGGCTGTCCGCAGCTGCCGTTTTCAGCACACGGACAATTTTCGCCAGCGTTCACGCCCTGTCAGTGTTTTGTCCGGACCATGGCGCGTCAGTTTGTGTCCGGCAGTGTCACGTGCTCGCCAGAGCTGACGCCCGCGGATGCTCTCCACCACAGGGACGCTAGCTGGGAGATGGAGCCGAACGCATTCTCCGAGCTGCTGGAGCGACACGAGGGCTGTGATCAGCGATACTGTCTGAGCAACTCCGGCCGGTTCCACTTTATCGACGGTCACAGGTCAGTCGAGATGCCATTCGCGGCCTCTGTCACGCAGGGTCGCGGAAGATTCAGACTTGCGCCACGTTGTACGGCTGCTGTGTAGAACGTGAAGGTCTGTCGATGTCCCACGCTTTGGAAGTGGAACTAGCTGGTGACCCAAATAATGTGTAGGGCAGCGTGCCATGCCAGAAGACGTTGGTTTACCGGTTGTCCATCTGACCATATTGCTACATTTTATCAATCGCTATGGCTAGCGTGAAACGCGCCTTTAATAGCGCATGTCACTGTACTAGATGTCTTTTTGCAGCCTCGTAATTAACGTCAAATGATAGGCCGCTGGCCACCAATGTCGCCTTGCGCCCTCTCACGTCCGCCTGCCGATCTGATTCCGCCACAGCGAAATGCAGCAGGTGGGTTGGCTAGTGCCGGGGGAGGGCGTCCCCCACCACGAGCGCTTGCACAGTATAAACATGCCTACCGCTGGCGCCCGTGCTGAAGCCTCAGCCTGCGCAGACGGCCGTCACCTGCAGCGCTCTCCTGTGTCGGCAGCGACTGGAGCCAGCTGCTGTGTGGCTCGTGCGGTTCGCGCGGCGCGCACCGCGCATGCGCCGGCCGGCCGCGCCGGCCTCCCTGGTACTGCCCGGACTGCGCGCCGGCCTTCTGCGCGGGCCAGCGCGCGCTGCCCGGCCCCCGGCGCTCCTCGCTACGCCAGCTGCTGGTGCGTGCGCCGGCCTCCGCCGAGCCGCCGCCACGGCCGCGGAGTGGCTGGTACAAGGGCGGCGTCACACGTCGGAACTTTAAATGACATATGCGGGGAACGCTCACGATTTTCAGTCGTTGGCACGGTTGTTCCATCAGATTCCAATCAATATCATCGTATTACCATATGTACTACGTTTAGGTGCTCGAACTGTTCAAACCCAGCATCTCACGCGTTTGGCTCGTTTCTGCGCGTTCGTTTGACGGCGCCTGTGAGGGACAGAGTGATGTCGCCGCCGGACAGTGGCGTCTGGCAGCCCCGCCAGTCCAGCTGCAGACTCCGGTCTGGCAGCCCCTCCCCTCCCCCCCCCCCCTCCTGTCGTGCAGCGTGCCTGATGCGCCCACCGGCAGCACGTGACCTGACCTCTGACCTGGCCTCAGATGAGCGAGCAGCGGCCGGCAGCGGCGCTCTCGCTGGCAGATGTCATGGGAGAGCTGAGCTGGCTCAACTTGCTACGCGCCCTGGACCAGCCGGAGAGGCTGCTCCACTTCCGCTGGCGCCCCGCCTCCGGCGGCGTCAAGGTCAGCCGGGTCACGGTCGGGGTCAGGCGGGTCTCTTCACTGTCATTCGCGCCATTCGTAGTTTGGTCAGGGTCAGGGCACGGTTAGCACGTGATCAGCCAAGTCACGTAGGTCAGGTCGGGGTTACAGGCTAGGTTAAGTAAGGGTCAGTCAGGTCATGACCAGGACGGCGTCAGTCGTAGTCCGGTGACTGCGAGGGACGGTGAGGTCATAGCCAGGCCCAGTGTCAGGTTTGTTAATTATGACTGGAGTTTATAGTCCAGGTTAGAGCATGGGAGGCGCCATGGCATATAATGAGGGCCAGGGCAGGACAGCTGATAAGTTTGCGTTTCGATTATCATCGTCATGATAATAAATTTTCGAATTAAAATCGATATGAAGTCCTGTGGGCACATATCTCAAACACCGATGAACTGAAATTTAATCGACAACAAATGCACGACATCATCTGTTCGCTTATATCAGAGAAATGTAAAATATTTGAGAAGGAAGACTGAGAGGATATTTTTCGAGCAGGCGATGTGACCAAGCCGAGGAGGTCAGGTCATGGCCACTCAGGTCGCGGTTAGCGTATCAGGTCACGGCGGAGCACGGCCGATGCCGATATGGTCGGATGTTCGGTGGCGGTCACCTCGGCGGCAGGTGTGGCTGTAGTCCTCGGCGGTCCTGGGCGGCAGAGGCGCAGGCTGGTGCTCGCGTTAGACTGCGTCGGCTGCTGGGCTTGGCGATCATTGGGCCAGTGATCGGTCTTTTCCTAGGTCATATGTTTGTCACGGTCATCCAGACCACGGCCCGTCAGTCAGGCGGTATGGTCAAGGTATGGTCAGAAGGCCAACTTGGAGTCCGGAAACTGGTTGGACCGTGGTCGATAGAGGTCAACTTTGGTCTGGCGCGTGTCGGTTGGCCAGACCATGGACATTGTGGTCAGAATCACACGGTAACCACCCGGGTCACGATCATTCATATCGCCGTGAGTAAGAACAGTCCGACCGACCAACAACTGGCCATCCGCAACCGCAGTTCACTTACCGCCCGCCGCCAGTGCCTTGTCTCGCTTCGTCTTGTCTCAGTCAACCGCTGCTCTGACTTCAGATTTCGACGCGGCCCGTGGCGGACCCGAAGAACCCGGACCACGTGATCGCCGGCGTCACGCTCGCGCACGACGACTGTGACCTGCAGCCGGTGGTGCTGGTGACGCGTGCTGAGCGCCGCGCCGCCGACCGAGTCAGGCGACCGCACCCGCCAGGCCAGCGCGCCAACTCGCGTGCCAAGCGAACCGCCACATTTGCGAAGCGCCACGACTCGTCTGCGAAGCGCATTGACGCTCTTGTGGCGAGGACCGGCGCACCCGTGGAAGCAGCGATGGGTCGCGGCGAGCGCATCAGGATTCCTTCTGAAAAGGCCGTCATTAACGTCGAACGAGTTAGAATAACTAGCGGGCGCTCAGACTCGTCTTTGAACCTCACGGATACTTCTGCGGTATGTTTGAAGCAAACTGGGCGATGCTTGGAAGGGAGCGCCGCCGTTTTGATTAGCGAACTGAGGATTGGCTTGGTGCCAGTCTGCGAATGAGCCCTGGTCACCCCTGATGTTGCGGTCCAACAACCTCCCATTACCAAACAGTAATTTTGGCGTACCTTTTGGCGTGTGGAGCTGACGTGCAGGCAGTCCCCATGTTGTTTTCTGGCCGAAATGGCGTCAAGACCACAGGTGGTGGCCGCCCCGCCGCGCGCCTTGTAGCAGAAGGTGTGATGCTGACGACCCGTCCCGTTGCAGGTATCCGTGTCTTGCCCTGACGGTGGGCGGCCGGGCAGACCGAGGAGGCGCAGGAACGGGCATGACCGCGGCACCCGGGATCGAGAGCGTGACGGGCACCGGGAGATCGAGAGGGACCGATCGAGCAAGAGGGACCGGCAGGTCGAGAGGGACCGATCGAGCAAGAGGCACCGACCGAGCAAGAGGGACCGATCGAGCAAGAGGGACCGGCAGGTCGAGAGGGACCGACCGAGCAGGAGGGACGGGCAGATCGAGCAGGACTTGCAAAGGGAGCGGGATCGACAGTTCCGTCGGGCCGAGAGGGTTGCCTGGCAGCAGCGGGACGGCGGAGACTGCCAGATCCGGCGGGACCAGCAGACCTCGACGGAGCGCATAGACCGACGGCGGAGCAGAGTCACCAGATTCTGCAGTCAGTGGGACACCGTATTGCATCACTTCCGCCAGGGCGGCCAGGAGCAGACCGGTCGGCCGCGCCGTTCGCTGATGGAGCGCAGCTACCTGACTCGCCGCACCGTTCGGCCCGAGGCGCTGATTACCGAAGTGCCCGCGGCAACACGTCCCCGCTCCCGGCGCCCGGTGTGACCGCCGGCTGACGCCCGTCTGCCCGCCAGTGACGGACGTCTGCCCGCCGGCTTCGCGTCCCGCCACATTGGCCTCCGGAACGTGGCGAGGTCGGTGATGCACCGCCGTCGGACTGTCTCAGACCTGAAGGTGGAGGACCGGGCAGGAGACTCGACCCCGGCGGCGCGTGCGGCGAGGGACACTAAAGACACCGTGCATGTTCTGACGGAAGACTCGGTGCGAAGCGACGACAACCGACGATTGTGTGTGTGTAAGGAGGGGGGGGGGGGGGGGGTCGTGTGTGGGACGAACTGGCGTGGGGGCGGTGTCAGCCGCGCGGCCGGACGGCCTTGGTGCGATCTCTTCGGACCCCGTCAGAGGCGCGCCGGCGCCACCAGTCGTGCTGCCATCTGCCGGCGAGTCGGGATCTGATTCCGGCTTCTGCCATAGCCCCACCCCCTCCCTTGGGGGATGTATCTTGGCAACCAAGTGAGGAAGCTGATATGGGTCTGTTGTATGGGCGCGGGTTTGAGTCGGTGGCAGGTAAGCGCCGGCCATGCATCTGCCGCCTCGCATTTCAATAAGCAGTCCTGCTCCTGGACTTTGCTGGGGCTGGGATTTGGGCGCCCCTTGTGCGCCAGGAAGTGTTTGATCGCGCGGTGCAGCGAAGGAACAAGGTGTTCTCTCCATGGTGGACCCGTCTGACTTGAAGGCTCTATAAGTGCGTCCGGCTGGTCTGCTCTGCCTATATGTAGGTCTGGCTGGTCGTGGTTTGGCTTCATTAAGTGGGTCAAAGTTTGGCATACTAGGTTTATCGGAAAATGATAACTCATGAAAACATTCCACACACTCTTCTGCGCGACCTTTTTTCCACACGATCCGAATCGAGCGAATTACCTGTGTGCGCTCTTGTTACACCGGTGTATGTCGAAGGGTGCCGTTTAGATGTGGCCAAAGAGCAGAGGAACAGCTTTTTATCGCGCATGTTGTGAGGGGAACTGCCCTGTCTCTGTCCGTAGGCAGGCTAGTTGTGCCTTCGTGTTCCATATCGATCCGTGTGCCGATCGGGGCCCACGTCGTCTGGACTTGGTCGCTCGCTTACATTTTACATGTGTGGCGCAGCTGAGAGAGTGTTCAAACAGGATTTCTTAGTGCGGCTGTCTGGAGTAGGACAAGATTCTGGTTACATTGACGCGTTTGCCATGAACGCCGAAGAACGGCGTTTAGTGCGCCAGTGGAGTGTTCCCACGCATCCGACTGTATTTCCAATATAACAGCGTGGATGCATGCTTTAAAGTTGCAAGTTTTCGCTGCCGAACGTGGTGATTTTTCATTACAGGTAGCATGGCTTCGCGAATACCGGGAGGGCCGAAAACTCTATTTTAAACTATTATCCACCCTGACTAATGGGCGTGCGTGGCGCCCCTCGGAATCGCGAGCGGTGGGAAAATAACGCCATTGCAGTCCTGGGCGGTTTTCCTTGATTTATGGCGTGATTCGTGAGCCGAACGCCTATGGGCCCCGACGGTCCCATTCACGTAGGGCGTGGATATGTATATTGTGGTACAGCACATGCCGGTCCATGTATATTGTGGATGATCACGACAGACCGGCGCGTGCGAGGCAGCTTTAGCCTATTACACCAATGGAATAGAGCTGTAGCAGGAGCCAGTCACTGTCAGGACGGCCAGTGCATCTGTTATCTATAATGGTTGGTTGGAAGAGAACTTCATTTATTATACACCTAATAGCAGGAGGAAGTCTGGTGTCTGTTCCCGAACTATGCTTTTTGAAAGTGCGGATAGATGGCAGGGTTCGCTCCCTCCAGCACTCCTGCCTGCTCTATTTTCAACACATCCCACACCATTCACTCACGAACAACACGATGTTCTGGCGCCAGGCTTGTAATTCGCCACGGCGAGTATGTTGCAGACAGCATAGGCTTATCACCGACAGTACAACAAAGGGTGGCAAAACCTCTCATTTTCAGCTAATGGCTTGACGTTGGGTTGACCGCCGCCCCTGCATCCACCTTCCTCGCCCTCCGCTTGATCCTCAACGCTTCCCCGCAGTGGGAACATGCTGCGACCGTCAGCCTTGGGTCAGGCCTCACTGTCGCTCTCGCTGGGAGTGCTCCAGAGTGCTGACGGATTACCGCTGGAGTGCTGCCAGTGTGCCGCTTGAGTGCTGCCGGAATACCGCTGGAGTGCTGCCGGAGTAGAGTACCGCTGAGAGTGGGGGTGCTGCAGAGTGCCGCTTGAGAGTGCTGCCGGAGTAGTGATACCCTGGAGTGCTGCCAGAGTGCCGCTGGAGCGATGTCGGAGTACCGCTGGAGTGCTGCCGGAGTACCGCTGGAGTGCTGCCAGAGTGCCGCTGGAGCGATGTCGGAGTACCGCTGGAGTGCTGCCGGAGTACCGCTGGAGTGCTGCCAGAGTGCCGCTGGAGTGCTGCCGGAGTACCGCTGGAGTGCTGCCAGAGTACCGCTGGAGTGCTGCCAGAGTACCGCTGGAGCGATGTCGGAGTACCGCTGGAGTGCTGCCAGAGTGACGCTGGAGCGATGTCGGAGTGAGTACCGCTGGAGTGCTGCCGGAGTACCGCTGGAGTGCTGCCCCAGAGTGCCGCTGGAGTGCTGCCAGAGTGCCGCTTGAGTGCTGCCAGAGTACCGCTGGAGTGCTCCCAGAGTGCCGCTGGAGCGATGTCGGAGTACCGCTGGAGTGCTGTCCCAGAGTGCGGTCTACGCGGGTTCAGCATCTGTAACAGCGATAGGAGGAGGTAACCTATATGGTGCCCCACATCTTGCTTAGTTCCTTAATCTTGATGTTTCGAAACGATTGGTCGCGAGCATCATTTACCTCGCAGCCGGACCAGAACTAACGCAGCGCTGAGCCGGCGGCTCTGGCAGCTGGGCCGTGGCTCTCCGCAAGACGGTGAAAAACACGAATATCAAAACTCCACTTTGGTTTCATAACAAGTAAGACCTATCGGCCTTTGGCACAATTCGCGCTCAGTCCCTTCGGCCATAATAGCTCTCCCACACGCGCCACCCGCAGAACCCACCGTCACGAAACTCGTCACAGCATGTTGCTTCTTGCCACAGCTGCTCTTCCTCCTAATCTATCCTCCAGCTGCAGTGTGGCTTCTCCTCCTGTCCCTCTGCCTGTGCCGTCCTCCATCTGCTGGGCGACCCCTACACCAGATCCTCTTTCGACCCTTCCGCCCTCACCGCAAGAATCAACGGAAGATGAATGAAATACTGCTGACCGTCGGCGATCACAGCACAGCGGTTTTAAGTCTTCCACCCGCGCCAAGTCAATGAACGGTACACGAATAAGCCAGTGCGTTTGTCCACGTTTTACTGGGATTACTGGGTGGCGGCGACTGAGCGATCGATCGATGTTATTTCGGCGTCGCGAAAAAAAAACATTGTTGTAGCCTTTTAAGTAAACCTGACATTGAAACGAAAAGGTGCACATGGTGATTAAAAAATAGGTGATAATTAGAGCCAATGAATTTATCAATGCGGTGATCTAAATTTCGCCGCGATCCTGGCGGTAGTTTTGACGACAGCGTGTGGTATTTGGCCCCGTTTTCCCAGATTCCGACATGTCCGGCTTGCACGACGAATTCTGTGGCACTGGTGCCTCGCACAATTTCGTGTTGTTCACATGAAATGCAGACGGCACGCGTGTCGACGCTTTGAAGTTGGATTCACGCGTTCACCGACTCCAGTTACCAAGATGTGGCATAAAACCTGAAAAACGGTCGAAAACGGGAAAATTTATATTTACCGCTGTTTTGCACGTGGCACGTGCAGCGCCAACCCGTCACATCACGCGATTCCCTGTTCAATTATCTGTCGAAGCGTGTTGATCTTGCATCGCTCCGACCCGCTGTTGCCCAATAGCGGCCGCGGTTTCGAACGGCCACTCTCCGGTGCTGACCCGGAGAGTGGCCGTTTCGCTTTTTCGCGCCGCCCATGCTAAGACAATGGGCTAGAAATGCACTTTGCAACACGTGCCCCGCGGTACCTGTTGACCTCACCGGCACAATACTCGCCACT